CGGCGGCGGCCGAGGCGGGAGCCTGACCCGGGGAAGGCGCGTGCCCGGCAGGGAGGTGGCTCTGCCCAGGGACGGGGAGCGGGGATTGGACGTTCCCGCCAGTTTAATCCGACACCGAGGGCTTATTCAGCTCCGGCATCGGTCTAAAATAGACGGGACTTGATCCGGCCAGATCCCTGTGCGGGCTGGAGGCCAGACCAATGGGCAAGGGGGAGCGGCTAGAGGGGAGGAGCACAGACAGTGCCCGGCAGGGAGGTGGCTCTGCCCAGGGACGGGGAGCGGGGATTGGACGTTCCCGCCAGTTTAATCCGACACCGAGGGCTTATTCAGCTCCGGCATCGGTCTAAAATAGACGGGACTTGATCCGGCCAGATCCCTGTGCGGGCTGGAGGCCAGACCAATGGGCAAGGGGGAGCGGCTAGAGGGGAGGAGCACAGACAGTGGGGAGGGAGAGGGGACTTGCCCTGAGCAGTGGGGGAGAGACGGGATGCACAGACCCAGGCTGCTACAAACAGTCGTCAGGGGGCCTCACGGTGAAAGCATCAAGGTGGGGCCCCATGACTGAGCTGCTTTGTGGAGGGGTGTTGTGCCAGGCCTCAGTTTCCCCAGCAGAGGGGTGTTGTGATATGCCTCAGTTTCCCGAGCAGAGGGGTGTTGTGATATGCCTCAGTTTCCCCAGCGGAGGGGTGTTGTGATATGCCTCAGTTTCCTCAGCTGGCCAGGGAGATGGGCCCAGGGAGGTGCAGTGGTGGGGAGGCAGGAGATGACCCAATGGCCAAGAGCAGGCGGCTGGAGTCACAGGGAACATTCTCCCACACAGGCAGGGGCAACATTCAGTGCAGGTCACGGGCAGATCAGCTTTCGCTCTATTTGATCCCCAAGGACGCCGGTCCCCAGCCAAGCACAGCCCAGGCTTGGGTCGGGAGTGAGGGCGGGGCTGGTGGGAGCTGGCGGGGCTGTGGGTCGGGAGTGAGGGCGGGGCTGGTGGGAGCTGGCGGGGCTGTGGGTCGGGAGTGAGGGCGGGGAAGGGGGAGCTGGCGGGGCTGTGGGTCGGGA